AGAGAGCAATAAGTGTCTTAGACAAGATAAAACATCATACTCAACATACTAATCACTCAACACAAACAACAAGGCATCAAAAAAAAAAATCCTCTAACATGACCTCAAAATTCTTAACTGTTGAAGCCTCACTCACACTAGCAGCATGTTATGAACATCAAAACTGAGGTTCAGCACTCACCAATTCTAGGCCGAACTCAAGTCTTCCTTTTTCTCATCATACAACACTTTGTAAGGCCTCCAGACTGAAAATTCACCTTTGCAACTAATGCACAGTAACAACATGAAATTCACAAAAGGCCCCAACATAAACACAAACAAAGTGAGGCCAAGAACATCACACAACATGCCTCATTTCATCTTTCTTTTTTCCTTCTCTTTTTCTCCAAACACAAGGCACATAATAAACACCAAGATAACACACAATTTAAGCATATAAAATGCAGATGTAGGCCACAGCAATTAAGTCATAATAATGGCACAACCACAACACATAAACAAGCATCTAAAACTCGACCAAGATGAGGTAATAAAGCTCAGCCAATATTACCTCTCGAACACAACGGACAACGGCTGATTGCCTACAGTGTGGCCACGTACGGCTCGTGGCTGGGGTTGGCTAAGCGGTTACAAACAGGGCTTCTCGGCATTCGCGGATGGGTCACCGATGGGGCTCCTGGCTGCTCAAACTCGGTTGCAGCTCGCGGCAAGGCGCTGCAACAGTGATTCGTTGCCGTCAGGCAGGAAGAGGCTCGCGCCAGTTGCAGGCCTGTGATGGAGGGGATGTCGGAGGCTGGGAGGATGCCACTCGACCGTACGGGGTGGCTAAGACGTCGGCAAGAAGGAAGGCTCGCGACGACGGGAAAAGGGCCGCTGCACGGCGACGGCGGAAGAGGGCTGCACGGTCGATGGCCGACGGCTAGGCTGGGCTGCGATGTTCGCGGGATTGCTCTGTACGCCGGTAAAAGGGCTGGCGAAGGCTAGTATCGCGGTGGTTGTGGCCGGAGCACAGGCAGAGGGAGAGGACGACGAGAGGCGACTGCTCGGATGGGTTTCTCGGCTCTGTCTCACTGTCGGCACCCGCTGCGAGAGGATGCTGAAATGGGCATCCAAGATTTCCAGTTCCCACAAAAATCAGGCGGAGCGTGTGGAACAGAGCCTCTGTTTATCTGTATATCTTGGTAGCTGTTTGTAGATATCGGATGAACAGGCGGCGTGTGCGAGCGTACACGAAATGCATCTTGTAACGGTAACCCTTCGTGACGCCGTTGATCAGGTTAGCGACGTGGCTCAGCGCCGTGCGAATGGCGGCAGTTGTTTCCCGGATGCTAAACCAGGCGTCCACCTTGAGCTTCTTCTTTCCAGTGGCCTAGTCGGTGATGAGATAGAAATCGAGGTTCAGGCGGCCGTAGTGCGCGTGTGAGAGATGTAGAGACTAGATAGAGAGAGGGGCGTGCGGTTATGGCTGCACGAAGAGAGCAT